TAAAACAGTATAGCCACTGTGAAAAACAGTACGGCACTTCCTAAAAAATTAAGATGGAATTACTATATAGTCCAGTAATCCCACTTTTATTTATCCAAAAAAACAGAAATCAGGATCCTGAAAAAATATTTGCACAGCCATGTTCATAGCAGCATTATTCACAACAGCCAAGAAGCAGAAGCAGCTCAAATATGTATCAATAGATGAATAAACAAAATGTGGCATACACATACAGTGGGATATTATCTAGGCCTATAAAGGAAGGAAATCCTGCAGTATGCAACAAAATGGATAAGCCCTGAGGACATTGTGCTAAGTGAAATAAGCGAGTCACAAAAAAAGAGAAATACAGTACTGTATAAGTACACTTATATGATGAGGCATCCATAGTAGTCAAAGTCATATACAGAAAGTGGAGTGGTAGCTGCTAGTGGCTGGAGGACAGTACAGAATAGGGAATTATTGCTGAATGGGTACAGAGTTTCAGTTTTGCAGTATCAAAAGAGCTCTGGAGATCTGTTACACAACAATGTGAACATACTTAATGCTACTGAACTCTACACTTAAAAATGGTTATGAGAGTAAATTTTTCATGTTTAAACAACAATTTTTTAAAAATTATTTTTAGAAGAGCGAAGAAAGGCATGTCCACAGAACACAGATATATGGTATGATTTTACATGTGAAGCAGATATGACAGAGCTAAGGAAGTAGACTGAACCTGATGAAGAGTCTTAAATGCTAAAATGAATATTAAATGAGAAAATATTCAATCCTGGCCCAGAGCAGGAAAATATTCCATAACGTTCCTTTCCTTCAGACCTCCTCTATAGGTAGAAGTAGGACTTCCTTGAGGAGGTGGTAAGCTAAACATGGAAAGACAAATAGAAGTTAGCCAGGCTGAGGGGTAGAGACAGGCAATCCAGGCTGAGGAGATACCTTACACAAATTCCAAACAAAAAGTGGGAAGATGAAGTAAAGACTACAGTATATTCAGCTCCTGCAAATTTCAGCACTTCTGGTATCTACACCTAAAGACAGAAGTAGCAACAGATGAGGCTGGAGGTATAAGCAAGGCCACATTCTAGAGGGTACTTCATGACACGCAGAAAATTTGGACTTTTTCCTATAAGCCAGTTATATCTAAACTGACCCAGACCCACTCATTTCAACCACAGCAGCTCTACTTTCATCTTTTTAAGCTGTTTCAGTGTCCACATTAAGTATTTTTTCAAAATTGGAAAATCACTAACATAGGCAGCAGAGAGCCACCGAACGATTTCATGCAGCAGAGTGACGTGACTGGCTGCGGTGTGATAAATGAACTAGACTACTGGAGATAAAATCAGGAGGTTATGAGCTTACCCAGCTGAGAAACAACAAAGGTCTGAGCTAGGGAAATGACAGTGAGATAAAGAAAAGGTGATATGGAGAGCTATTAAAGTTAGGGGATATGGGTGAAATTATGTTTCCAAAGTATGTATCACAGTATCTAGAATAGCTCTATAAATGTTTTCTATTGTTATCAATATCATCTGAATAAATATGGAGGATTAAGAAAGAATATCAACAGAAGTTTCCAAGCATCTTAAGTTGAGCGAGTGGGTAGACGATATTATCATTCCAAAAGACTGGGAGCAGGATGCTGTTTTTTGGGTTCTGTGCATTCTGAGGTGAGAATGGGGAGGATAAATTCAGTATTAGCCATGTTAAGGTGCCTGTGGAACATCTAAATGAAAATGTCAGATGATAGGGGCTCAGAACAGATTCAGATCAAGAGAGATCAACAATATGCAGACAACCATTACCCCAAGATAATGGTGCCAGAGAAGCCCTCAAATCTAAGCTTAAGATCTGAAAGAATCAATACTTAGATGTATCTAAACTTTCAAAAGCCACCAAGTCTGAGGATGTACAACAGAAGAAAAGTTCTGTCACTTTGAAATGCCATCTTTATTATACAATAATGTTTTAAGACAACCATATTATCATGCTTTTCTAATTGATTCACTGCTTGTCAAAGTAAGATCTAGGTTCTTATATTTTGAATTAAACTTTATTTTTGGAATATGACTAAACCCAATTTAATTTATAAAATAGTCTTCATTCTGGAAAGACCTCAGGTTATGGAATAAGAAAACACAAAATAGGCCAGGTACAGTAGCTCATGCCTGTAATCCCAGCATTTTGGGAGAATCCCTTGAGGCCAGGAGTTCAAGTCCAGCCTGGGTAACATAGTGAGATCCCATCTCCACAAAAAAATGTTCAAAGTTAGCTGGGTGCAATGGCATGCACCTGTAACCTGGGAGGTTAGGAGTTTGAGACCAGCCTGGACAACATAGTGAAATCCCATCTCTACTAAAAATACAAAAATCAGCTGTGTATGGTGGTGCCTAGTTATCCAGGTGGCTGAGGCGGGACGATAACTTGAGCCCAGGAGTTTGGGGTTACAGTAAGTTATCATCACGCCACTGTACTATATTCTGGGCAACAGAGTCAGACACTGTGTCAAAAAAAGAAAAAAAAAAGAAACATACTGTTTTTTGTTTTTTTGGGCAAGCTTTATTAGGTATGAACTTCATTTCACAGAGTTAGAATGGCCATTTCACTTAAAATTAGCCCATTAAAAAGTGTAAACATCAAGGTATACATATGTTATCCAAAACTCCAAAAGGTAGTGAAACTAATAACAGATATTGGTACTCATCTTTGGAAAGATACAACAGTGTTGATGAAACTGGTTCTCAGACAAGTATGTACCACTTGCTCCCATGCTTTAGGAAGGAAAGGGTATTATAACACAGGCATTATTGATGCAGTGACTCGTGGATATTTGCTCCTTATTAACACTGTTAAAATCAGGTTCCCATATTTTACTTTGTGCGGGAGCTAGGGGCTCTTGTCCTCTTGTTTTTTGAGGGGTATTTTTCAAGTTGTTGGCATCAAACCCATTTATTTCAAATTATATCACAGATGGGAAATTAAGCCTCTTCACAAAGCAAACCACGGGAAATTCATAGGTAGTATGCAACATTGGTCTGTAACTGATCTTTGATAATATGGCAACATTTCTTTGAAACATCATTTTCTTGATCCCACAAGAAGTGACAGGATAAGAAAACTCGTAGTTAAATGACAACAGTTTTGATACAGGACAGTTATCTCCCAGGTGTATGTCGCCAATTCTAATTTCCAAGTTGTTATCAAAAAGGTTTATTTTCGTTCTGACTAACAACCAATCATCAGAACACATTGCAGTTATTGCTAGGTTGGGTCCAGAATTCCAAAACAATAAAGAAAAGAGGGAAGACCTGCCTAAGAGCACAGAGGTCTTCATTGCTCCAGACACCAAGACACAACACAGGGGACACACACAAAGTATATATGAAACTAAAATTACACATATGCTAGGAAGGTAAAGTTAGAAAAACTACTTAACGTCTCTATGTCCCACATTCCCCATGTGTCAAATTGGGATAACACCACCTACCTTACTTGGCTGTGATGAAAATTAAGTTATAAAACATGTGTACAGAAACTAATGTGGTGGACAGCATATAGCGCAAGCTCAACAAATAATAACTTTTACTATCATTCTACCTTTGAGAAACAAGAAGCAAATATTTTATTTTTAAGTTAAATAAGGTCATCAAAAATATATGTGAATTAATATTTTAAAGCATAATATCTCAGTACCTGGGCTTTCAAGGTAGCAGATTTTCTTTCTTTCTTTTTGTTTTTGGAGACGGAATCTTTCTCTGTTGCCCAGGTGGGAGTGGAGCAATATTGGCCCACTGCAACCTCCACCTCCGGTCCAAGTTCAAGCAATTCTCCTCCCTCAGCCCCCCAAGCAGCTGGGATTATAAGCATGAACCGCCACGCCCAGCTAATTTTGATATTTTTAGTAGAGATGGGGTTTCACCATGTTGTCCACACTGGTCTCAAACTCCTAACCCCTGATCTCAAGTTATCTGCTGGCCTCAGCCTCGAATGCTGAGATTACAAACATGAGCCACCACACCCGGCCTAAGGTAGCAGATTTTCTGACATGCAAATCCATGATATTTCAAAAAGACTGAATTGAGAGATTAACACATGCAGTTGTGCATACAATAGTGAAATAGTACAAGCGAATTACAAAAGCAGGACTTGTATAAAAACTGAATCCAATTTAGAAATTCCATCCAGTTGCCCCCAAATCTTAGCTATTGTAACTGAGGAGTTAATATGCGGTCAAAATGAATTTAGAAAGGTTTAAAAGAAGATTAACTCATGCTACTTTTTGGATTCCTACATATTTACAATGGGATAATATATGGGATGACACTATAAGCTATGACAAAACTAATAAAGTACCGAGATATAACAGTCAAAAGCACGAAATAGAAAAGTGGGACATTAGGAGTTTGTTTTGTGGGGATGAGGAATAGATTTAATCTATGCTTTATCTTAAACTTGAGTTTTCCATCAGTCTCCTTTTTAATCACCACATTCAAGGAAAAAAGGAAAAAACATAATTGTAGATATTTTTCCCATTTAAGATTTTCTAAGTTTAAATTTTAATGAAGTTTAAGAAAACAATACCCAAAAACTACCGGCTGATTTTCACAACCATCGAAAATGAAGCCTAAAATACAATAGCATATATAGGCTGTATATACCCAAACACATATGTTAAGAAATGGGGCAGGCATGAGGTTGCCAAGCCTCTTAGAGAATTCCTTGCTATTTTAAACAAAATCACTCATGAGAAAAATAAAATGATGCATTTGGTTTATTCTCAAAGGAAACATACTATTTCACAGAATAGTAAAACTTGCATGCTATATATTTCACGTATTAGTGGTTAAAATTAAACAATTCCAATTCTTTTCTAACTTAAGTTTCTATATGATATACACCTACATGTACAAATGTACAGACATACGTTTGTTTATGTAAATTTTTATCTTGCACAGAGATATTTAGGAAGTATTAAATGCTATTGTTGATAAACTTACGAATCAACGTGCAGAACTCTCTGGCCACTTCTTGAACAGGCAGCTGCAATGATGGATTCAGGCAAACCTATAAAAACACACATCTCTATCATTTAGAATGTAGAAATATACACATTTTACATAAAATGTTCAATTCATGCCATTGCTGTATAGTATAGTTTTACCAAAGAGACCCATCCTTGCTTGTAGTCAGAATTATAATGTTTATATTAATTATACTGTAAGATGTTTCTTAAACATATACCATTCATATTGAAAATTTTATTATGGAAAGACATATATTTTTAAAAGCAGTTCTACTTAATTTGGCAAGAAGGAAAAAGAAAAAATAATTTTTAAAATTACTTACATTCTTTTTGTATGTAAATTACTATCGATGAGCAATTATAAATGTTATATATTGTCCACTTAATAGCATGTTCACACGCTAGCTCATCTGAGTCTCCCAACTGCACTGAGAGATAACCATTTGCATATGTATTTTAGAGAAGAATCTTTTAAATTCACATGCATTTTAGAAAAGAAAAAAACACAAATATCTTAACTTTCTGTTCAATGCTTAAAAAAAATAAAAAAGAAGTTCTGGAGTTGAAATTTAAACCCAGATCTAACTCCAAAGCCACAATGCCACTCAGGGGTCATACATTTTTTATCTTAAGAAATATGTCAGCTAGTTTAGAAAGGGGCCACTTACAAGATACCTTATTTTGCTTTTTGACTAATATACCAGTATGAAAACAAAACATTAGTGCTTTGGAATCAAACTTAATCATAGCATAAAGCTGATTATCATAAAAGGATATATATATATAGATATATTATATCTATATATATATATTACTACCAGTACCAACAAAAAATTAAAATGGCCAAAGATAATAATGCTTCCGTGATTTTACAAAATCAAGTTTTCTGTTATACTTGACAGTTAATATAACCTGGAAGTTCCAGACTCTTCCATAACTTTTTGAAATATGATCTACCATGTTGACAGGAGCTAGTACTGTTTATATTAGTTATAAAAATAAAGCATGCTTTAAAAGTTTAGTGCAATTCTATAGTGCTACTACTAATTCCATCACTACGATGAAACAGCCCGATCCTCTTGCGTTTTTACCTAGTGGAATAAAACAGCACCAGTCTGTTGGCAAGGGTTTAAGCTACACACTACGCATCAAGGATTTCAAGAAAAAGGAACATCATTTTCTGTATATAAAAAGCAATATGCGCCGGGCGCGGTGGCTCAAGCCTGTAATCCCAGCACTTTGGGAGGCCGAGGCGGGTGGATCACGAGGTCAAGAGATCGAGACCATCCTGGTCAACAAGGTGAAACCCCGTCTCTACTTAAAATACAAAAAATTAGCTGGGCATGGTGGCGCGTGCCTGTAATCCCAGCTACTCAGGAGGCTGAGGCAGGAGAATTGCCTGAACCCAGGAGGTGGAGGTTGTGGTGAGCCGAGATCGTGCCATTGCACTCCAGCCTGGGTAACAAGAGCGAAACTCCGTCTCAAAAAAAAACAAAACAAAACAAAACAAAATAAAAATAAAAATAAAAAAAATAAAAAAATAAAAATAAAAAGCAATATGCATATAGAAACAATTGATATAGTCAATCTCTAGGTAAAAACCGTACTAAACACAAGTTCCAGCCTGCCTTCACAGAGGAACTAGTTTTCCAGTGTTGAACACTTTGTAGGTATATAATGCTTGGTTCAAGAAAAAAAAGTTCTAACAAATGTACTGAAAATAACCATTAAATATCAATAATTGAAAATGAGCCATCATAAAGTTCCAATCTTAACTTTAGATATAATTCAAGTAAACAAAATAATTATTTTGGAGTAGAGAGAAATAGGAGAAAGTTTTAAATTGCTAAATGTAGTTTTTAAGTTAAAACTCTTACTCAAATCTTAAGGCCATCTCAACCTTTTGCTACACTTAAAGAAATAACTTTCCTTTTTAGGGAAATGCAGTCCTTATGGTACTTTAAAAGCTGATAAGCAGCTTAGTTAAAAGGATAATGGCAAATAAACACTCAGGAAGCAGATTAGGATGCTAAAGATTAATGTTCTTATGTGTAATAATGACAGCATTAATAACAATGCCACCAAATATTAGTATAGGGTTTTATCCTTCACTCTGTATTTTCACATACATCATGTTATTTATTCCTCATAATCCTGGGAGGCAGGCAGTATTTATCTACATGAGCAAATAGGTTAAGAAAGGTTAAATAACTTGCCAAGTCACTTGACTTCTCTGAGCCTTTGTTTCTTCATCTATCAATGAGACTATCATGATCTACCTCATAGGATTCAGTTCTGTTGTTAGCAAGGGTACTTGCCCTATGAACACTATCTGTTCTTATTATCCTTCAGAATGATATTTTAGAAGGCTTATATTTCCATCTAACACTACCCCAAACATATGCCTATTTTCACCAGATGCCAACTTCAATGGTGAACAATAATAAAATTAATCGCCTCCATTTGGCCCCAAATAACTGTTACTTGGGGTAGGCAGTTATGCATATGGTTATTTCCATGGCTGTGATCAACAATGTCAGAAGTCAAGTCTCTGGTATTAAAGCAAAGCCAAGAATGGATTTCAATACTGAACATGATTTGAGTCCAAATGACATAAAGCCAAACTGACTATCATTTGTGTTTTTCCTCAATACTTTCATCCAACCATAAGTTTGTGAAATTCAGAAGCTGTTCTAATGTTAAATGGCAAGGGCCTATTATCTTCATGCTTAGAATGACTAAAATAGCAAACTAATAATATAGTAAACAATGTCTTCTTAACCAATATTTCATATTTCTTCCCACCCATTCAATAAACAGAATTTCCAGGATACAGGAGGGATGTAATAGATTATCTATAAATATTTGCTGAATAAAAGAAAAAGAGAAAGGGAAAATGGGGAAGGGGCAGAGGAAGGGAGTGAAACAAACTGGGCTAGGGAGTGAGAGATTGTCTTACATCGATCAATAGCCTGTTAGAGTTCAGAGTCTATAGAACAAGGATTTAAAGAGATTAAAATAGTAAGTTATTTTAAAACTGTCAGAGAAACACAATTGAAAAAAATACTCCCTCTGTACAGGGAGTCATGGAAAGCTCCAAAAAACAGGAGAAACTAGCTGGGTCTTTCAGGGTCTCTAACAACCCTGAGAAGTACAGAAGACGGAAAAAGGAAAGTGGAAGGGATCACTCCTGGCAAAGTTAAAGGAAGGGAGAACCAAACAGTGATGTTTTTTTTTTTTTTAAAAAAAAAAAAAAGTCTTCGGATTGGCCTACTTCACTTAGCATAAAGTTTTCAAGAGTTATCCATGTTATAGCATGGATCACTACTTCATTACTGTTTTTTTTATATATAACCAAGTAATATTCCCTTATATGGATATACCACAGGTCTCCATCCATTCTTCCGTCAATGGATATTTAAAGCTGTTTCACCATCTTACCCATTGTGAACACTGCTGCAACAAACATAAAGCTAGTCACAGAAGGACAAATGCTGCATGATTCCACCTATATGAAGTACCTAAAATAGGCAAATTTACAGAATCACAAAGTGGAATGGTGGTTCCCATGGGTTTAGGGGAGAGCAGAATAGGGAGTCGCTAATCAACTGGCACAAAGTATCAGTCATAAAAGATGAATAATTTCTAGAGAACTGCTCTACAACATTGTACCTACAGTAAACAACACTGTATTTTACACTTAAACATTTGTTAAGAGCAGAGATCTCATGTCAAGTATTCTTACCAACATGAAACAAAATTGAAAAAAATTTCCAAGCAGTTGAAGCCAAATTAGAGTATCTGAACTTGAACCTCTAAGCAACACGGAGACTTGAAAGTACTTTAGCCAGATCATGGTCAAATCAGGGTTTCAAAAAAAAAATAAAACCTGTAGTCACAGCATGGAGGATAAACCTGTATAAAACTGGAGCTTTACGCTTCAAGGTTTTTAAAAATTATTTACGAAAAATCAACATACTTAAAACTTTTTGATCATATTGCTAATTTGGTAAAATAATAAAATGACTACTTGTTTTGTTTAAATTACTATTTCTAAGTGCATACTTAAAAGTTTTTGGTCTTACTGCTAATTTAGTAAAAGAATAACTGATTTGTTCAAATTAATATTCCTAAGCTCAATTTTATTAGCACTTAAACTCTTGATTAATTTCAAAATAACACCTGTTCAATGCTTTAAAAAGTGAACGACTACTCAAGTTCACACAATATATTTGTGAGGCATTTATATGAAACATGTATGCGTTTATTTTGAACTATACAGTCTCTCCCATGAGGAAAAGCCAGACATGAGTTAGAAACAGATAACCTAGATTAGGGGCAAATAATACAGCATTCCACTGGAAACACTCTGTAAAATGTGTGAGCACAAATATACAAGTACAATGTTTTCAACTGTAAGATGGGGATAATAACACATATGGGTGCAGGGAAGAACAGGTACAAAACAATATCCAACACTACACATAGTGGCTCTTGGCATGTCACTGACATTCAATAAATGTTACTTCTCTTCCCTCCTCTTCCGACCCTTTCAAAAAGATTAATTATTTGAAGGAAAAAAAGCTATCACTTGCTTACTATTTGCTTAAGTTTCCTTCAAAGATCTAGCAACTTAAAATCATTTTTTAAAAAGTCCAATAACCTTTTCTTTATGTAAACTATAGAGGTTCATCAGACATTTAGTATCAGTTAGGTATTTCACATTACTAAATATAATTATTAAATTCATTAGAAAGGCTGTACCAAAGAACTTGCTCTGCCACAGTATTATAAGCAAGCATGTAAAATTCTGATGCAAGACAACAACTTTGGCAAGTCATTTTTATTAAACACAGGTAAATATTAGGTATTAAATGAGCATCTCCTAACAGTTGTAGTAGGGGAAACAGAGGTTTCCTCCATCATGCCTTTCACAGTTGAGGTTCTGTTACAGAAGTGGCAACTAGGAAAAAAAAAAAAAAAAAATTAGACGCTTATGTAACGTTATATCATCATACACTAACATTTATGGTACCAGCTT